CCCAAGGATCGTCTGAACCTGCGCTGGGGTTCAGACGATCCTTGGCGCACGTCATAATTTGGCGTTGTTGCTTATCCAGACGTCGTTCAACTTGAACAAACAAATCCACCGCGCGCGCGGTGGATTCGTTTGCATTTGTTTGAACCAGACGCTGTCATCATGACGTGGATCAGCCTTAGCAGACGATGCATGACGACAACGACAATGCACGACGACGGAGAACGACGATGCACGACGACAGCGGACGACACTGCACGACGACAGCGAATGGCAATGGTGAATGATGAGGTATGATGACGGCGAATGAGACATAAAGGTGGAACACGAGGGAGCGGCGAGGTGCCATGTCGCAGTCAGCGACGTGCCAACTGAACGACAAATCACTTCTGTGGGCCCAGGTGAGAAAGAAAGAACCGTCCCCTCCACGTTCTTTCTTTGACGCACAGTCTAGGTGCCATGTAAGCCTTCAAAGAGGTATTTTTCGTATGTTCGTCAGCACCCCGTTTCTCTAACATTCATTTAATCCGCAGAAACATTGTATTTGCAGCCCTCGCGTTGTCGACGAGGGCTGCAAAGACATCGACTGCGTCAACGGCATTCCAGTCAACGGCATTCCAGTCAACGGCATTCCAGTCAACGGCATTCCAGTCAACGGCAACGGCACCCTATGTTACCTACACGACCACCACAATTCAAGTGAACAACGTGGCGACAACAGACCGTTTCCGCTCGCACCTCGTTGCCCTCCTCTCCATCTACGAAGTTTCTTTTTCCAGGGCTCAAATCTCGCGGTACGATGGCCCCCCAGACGAGCAGACAAGATGGTGTTGAAGAGGTTGGGGACGTGTGGTGCAAAGTTGAAGGAAGGCCGTCGTGCTGCGGTGCGTTTATATGCACCTCATTCAACTAACATCCACCTGATTAGAATCCACTACACGACGTCGAGCGATGGCATCCGCTTGCGTATCAGTCACCCTTCCAACATGTTTAGCTGGGTACCCCGTCAACGATGTCGAGCCATCCGCTTGCATATCACTCCTCTGTCTATATGACCCCATCCGCTCGCGTATCACTCCCCCTGGCCAAAACGTTTAGCTTGGGGCGTCGTGTTGTACGTTCATCCGCACCAAGTTCATCGTTGCCTACGTCAACGGCTTCACCAGCACCCTCTGTCTCAAATTCGGCGCCGTTCGCTCGCTTATCACTCCCTCTTTCCAACACGTTACTCTGTCAATGACGTCGAGCCATCTGCTCACGTATCATTCCCCCACATTACCCTGTCAACGACATTCATACCCCGTCAACAACGTCGACCTATCCTCTCACGTATCAGTCCCCCTTTCCAAAACGTTCAGCTCGATACCCTATCAACGACTTTGACACTCCCCCTTTCCAAGATGTTTAACTCCGGTGCGATGTGAGATGACAGCGTGTTTGGGGAGGGAGTTACATGTTAGTTTTTGACGCTTTTTTTGTCAGATTATGTAGTTTCCTCGTGCTGCGTCGAGTAGTCCTGTAGAAGGGACGTACAATACTGGAAATGCAAACTATTAACAAAATCTTTGAGCTCAAGGGCATGATCACCGAAATCAAACAAATGCAAACGAAACCACCGCGCGCGCGGTAGTTTCGTTTGTCCCTATTGACGTCGACCTCCCTTCAGCCACCATCTCTTCTACTTGAAATCTGCTATGGACTCTGACACATCCAGTTCGGCTCACGTGGTAAACTGTCTGTACTAATTCCACTCTCACTAAAGCAAGCACTTACACTGGTTCACCCCTTTCAGGTCCTTCAGAATGCCGTGCTGTCTCACCTGTGTTCTCAGCCTTTCCTTGGGCCACACCACATGTTGTACAAGTGCCAAAGCCTTTGGCTGACTTCACTGAAATAATGTCACCTCACAAGGTACTTTATTTCTCTGTGGCCTCGATTGTAACTTAACAGACTGCTTTCAGCACTTCATCAATTCGCTAAATCGATTTGAGCGCTCGCTCTTTGCCTTTGATAAACTTGCGGTCGATTCTAACGAATTGGCACCGCTTCTAGGCTTAGATGTCCTGAAAGCATCCAATGCGGTCACCCTACATCCAACGGCGACGACTGCATCATCAAAGGGGGAGTACAAAACCCTTGCTTCCATTGTTTCTGCATATCGAATGTTTGAGGTCTTGGCTCTTGACTGCGAAATTGGTGTTTCACAACCTCCCATTCGCCTGCTTCCCCCCTTGTCTTTCAACAAGTCTGAGCAGGATAGTGAAAAGATTGTTGTACGTTGATTTATATATATTCTGATCCTCAAGTTAATTTTCCTTGCTTGCAGGGTTTTGACAAACTAGAAAATTGGCCCAAAGTTCTGCTTAACTTCCGGAAACTTATAGGTCAGTCAGGACTACCTCAAATTCCTGACGACCTCCATGCAGGAAGCAAACACCTTGCTCTCCTACGGATGGCAAGCAAGAACAAAGAGAAAGTAGCATATGTGAATGTGGTCGACAACTTTCTTCAAGCTGCTCTGCATCTTTACTACCTCAAGATGACCCAATTCCGAGATGGGTCTCTGCCTGACTATCCTGATATTTTAAATGACCGTCTCCAGTGCGTTAGACTCATGTCACATTGATATCCGATACTCATATCTCTCAGCATCTTCAAAGATGAGACCTCTACAGATGAATTCATCAATGATCAAGAGGAGGGGACTTACTACTTGCAAGATTTACGTGATGGAGAGACAGCTTCGCACAGCCTCCACCAACTTGGGACACCTCTGCAATTAGCACTGCTCCTGACTCCTTTCTATTTGCTCTTTCCATTCAGGATAATCACCAGGTCCTATAATCGTCGTCTTGTTCTCGAATCTTTTGCTGAGTTAACTCCTCGGAAGACACCCCTTGTGCTTAAAATTGAGAGTTCCATCTGGCGTTCTCTTATAGCGCTTGCTGATGTGACCATCACGCCTCATGAAGCTTTAACACAACTGGTATCAAGATTGCCGTGGGCTGAGATAGAGGCAGCATCCAACAACCCCCATGATTGTCGCATGTTTTGCACCCCTTTAGGTGAGAAATGTTAAACTGCTTTTCAAGCTTCATTTATTTATTCTTTGTTGTATTTACAGCCCAGCCCTCTTCTTCTTCAACACCATTACAGCCTGGTTTGGCTGTTGGGAGGCAATTAGCAATAGAAGGTGCCTCAAACGCCCTTACTCCGGATATACAAGTTGGTGGGTCCATGCCAGAAGCCCCAGTTATCCCCAACACTCAAGTTTCAACATCAATG